TGACGATACAACAGTGGTTGTCGGGGGGGATAGCAATGACATTTTAGGTGGCCTAAAAATTAGAGGATGTGTATCTAACTATCCATTTAGTTCACTTTTTCTTACTGTCAAGTTTGTTCAGGTTGGTGGATTGACCTCTTGTACAAGTACAACCACCAAACCGAGAGAAACTCTGTTATTATGGTTTTAGGTGTTTGTGAAGCATAAAATCTTTATAACTAGCAATCTAAATATTTAAAATTGCAATTGCCATTGTGTTGGTGAACTTTTGGACTTGGTTTATATTGCTTTCTGTCCACCTATGATGTGGGCAAGTGTTCGAAATTCATAAAAATGGTTTATGACACCAAGTTCTTGACTTTCTGGATGGTGTTAACACTTCCCTGTCATCTTTTTACCTTCTTTTGTTTACTCATGTATTTTGCTCAATATGTTCCCGCTGAAAGGGATGTAGGAGTTATTTGATCTAGTATACTGTTTCCTTAACATGTTCAGTATCCTGTAATAACAGGATAACTTCAACTTAACACCGTCTGCATATTCTGTCTAGGGAAAAAGAGAAGTATTATCACGAGGCAGGGATCTCCTTCGTTAATATGGGTAGTACCTAGAGATCCAATCTGCTATAGTTAAAACAAAATTATAAACCTATGCTCGTCTTTGCTTTTTCTACATATTTTTTGTACACGTGTGAGTTATAAGTAGAATTACTTTTTGAAATCGTCAAACAATAGATATCTCAGTTGTTTCTACAAATTATGCTCTATAGAGTTAATATCAGGAATTCTAACCCCCTCAATTGCTTTTACTATTAGGTATCAGAAGGTATCAAGTTTGGCAGGGGTGTTTCTTCATGTTTGAAATACCTTGAGGCAGTGCCTTGGACTGAGGAAGAAGAGGAGAAGCTGAGAATTTTGTTTTCCAAAATTAAGTTGGATGATGGTACTACGACAGACATCTTAGCTAGACTCTGTAGCCTTGATTCTGTTGATTCCCAACAAACTTTAGCTAAACAACTTGTTTGGTCGATAACCACCTGTGTCAATGCCAACGCTAGAAGTGAGCTGAAGTCTTTGGTCAAAGGTCTACTGTGCAAAAGCTCAGTCTATGAGAAAGATTTCCCTGATCTGAATAAAGAGGACATATTTGCTGTTTGTGAGTCATGTCTGAGTTCACTGGTTAGTCTGTTTGAGGAGGAGGCCTCTGGCACTGATCCAAGTGAAAAGTCGACAAAAAGTGAGAGAGATAAGCCTTTGTTAGAGCGCATCTCAAAGCAAGTCGACAACATAAATTGGCTAGTCGACATCTTGCTCGATCAACAAATGGCTGAGGAATTCGTGGATATGTGGGCAGCTCAAGTGAAGCTGCTTAAGATTCATGAGAATGCATCTCCAATGATTAGGTATGAGCTTAGCCGTGTGTCGGCAATGTTGTTTATCGCGATGGGCACCCGGAAATTGCATTGTCAGTCAGAAACAAGATTAGGTATTCTTCGGGTATGGTTTAGACCAATGCTATCGGACTTTGGCTGGTTACAGAGGTGCAGAAAGGGGTTAGACATAAAGGCATTGGAGGAGGCGATGGGTCAAGCACTTCTTACTCTCCCTTTGAGCGAACAATATACACTGTTTATGGATTGGTTCCAGTGTTTCTCCAAGAATGGTACCGAATGCCCCAATCTCAGTAAAGCATTCCAAATCTGGTGGCGCAGATCATTCCTCAGGAACTCCGAAACTTTTTCTCTTGAATCTAGGTGAATTGGTGCTACCAATGTTTCTGATGTAGGGTTATTGCTCATTATTTTGTGTTGCTTTGAGGGAAATGTACGGATGTGAATAATGTTGATTCACCGTGTAAAATGTCTAACAGTTCTTTAAAGTATTGGTGCCATCACAAGCACTTTTGCTAAGCTCATTTTGTTCTGCTTTTTCCTTTTTTGGTCTCTCATCGGTTATTGGCATACATCTTAAGCTTCATATGGTTGAGGAAGTTTAAACAATTATCTATCTGGTCAAGTCATTGGGTTAGAAGGTTATTGGTTGGATCAATCATGGGATAACTGTGTATTGATTCAGATCTTTAAAAGATGTGTAGTTTGATTTCAAATATTTAAACTGTAGTTGTTACTACCTTTCATCAAGTTTGGTATACATCTTAACAATAAAAATATTTTATTAAATAAATAAATAAAAAGCCTTTACCAGCAGTTACGCTTAGCCAAGTAATCTCATTTCAATTAATTGCGAGTCATTCATATTCAATTCATTTTCGATTTGCTTACGAATTTCAGTGAAGAGTAATACGTCGACATTGAATTTCACACTAATGGATAGCTTATTAGCTTAGTGTATAATCAGTTCATTTATCATTTTAAAAGTGTTTTGTTTGAGATAGATGATGACATGTATTATTGTGACGTAGATATCATTCATTATCAAATCATATCATATTCAAGAAAGTAGACAAATTATTTGCAAGTAAATCAATTTTTTGCAACTTCATTGTATCCAATTGAAGATGAGTTAGATTTGCAAGCAAATAGAAGGTGGTAGAGTGCACCGTTTATCCTCACACACAGTCAGCGCTGCACCGCAATTTTTCTCACTGAACGTCAAAACATGGACCTAATAGAGCACAAATACGTTGAATTGAACGGGCTAAAACTTCACGTGGCTGAGATTGCAAGTGGGCAATCACCGGCTGTGGTTTTCTTACATGGGTTTCCGGAAATATGGTATTCGTGGCGCCACCAGATGATTGCAGCGGCAAGTGCCGGTTTCAGAGCCATTGCACTGGATTACAGGGGATATGGGCTTTCTGATCCGCCACCCGAACCCGAGAAGACCACCTTTTTAGACCTCGTTGGTGACGTTCTAGCGCTTTTTGATGCTCTTAGCATCTCTAAGGTACACGATTAACCTCCTTGATGTCAAGTCCTTGCTGCTGTTGCTTGAAGTTCAAGTTCTAAATGTGGGTGTAAACATCAAAATGAAAATTGTTCTCATTGTTGCTTATTGATGATTTTATGAAGTTGAATCTCTTCAGTGAAAATGTTTTTTGTCGGCTCCAATCAATTTAATGTATTTCTGTTCATAATCCTGCGAATTTCAGTAATCTATAAGTCATACCTTGAGGGAATAGATTGGAGGATTATTACATAGAAGACTCTTTTTTTTGGCCTTCTATACTATAAGATAGAATTGTATCCTATCTCCTGATATTCTGGGTCGTATGGGCCTGAGCTATAGCATCCTAATGTTGTGTAGCTTCTTGATGTAGTATATTGTGCCTGGCCATTTTGACTCAGGTTACCGCTCTTATGCCATTTTGGCTTTTGTGTATAGCTGAATCTGAGCATCCTTGTCTAGTTGTCTACCCTTGGGGTGTCTTGGTGCAGTGAAGGCACTGAAGGGCCACCTTTTTTACGTCCATATGTCACCCCATGAAGCAACTTGGGGGCAAAAAAACGAGAGGGATCGGGCTCCTCTTTGGAGCTCCTGGCTTCCCATGGCTTGAGCCGGAATCTTCTAGCTCAGCAACTATTGTGGTTGATTTTGGTGGTAATTATTTCATTCAATCAGAAATAATTATGCGTCCTTAGTTTTCTGTGATCTCTTTTGCCTCCAAGGATCTGCAACGCCATGTCAGTGGCTGTGGGTCTAGTGGTGACACATTGGATGGTTACATCACCCTGTATACGACATAAATCAAATTCTGTAGTGTCATTCCTTGGAACACAGCCCTATGTAATACAAGGACCAAATAACTATACCATTTTAGAGGCATAAAAATGAAAATATATATTCGAATGTCCCAAATCAATAGAATTGATGACTTTTGCGTACTTCAACAGTATATTAAGTGACCAACTCTTGTGAAAGTTCAAAATAAGTCTTATTAATTTATTACTATTTTCAAGCTAAAAGTACCATGCCTTAAACATTCTGTGATGACCATTGTATATGCAGGCGATCCTTTTAACTAATATTACCACGTGTTTTAACATTTTTTCAATAGAAACTCGAGATCAGAGTATGGGTGCCAGTATTTACTGATATCACCTTATATATATATTTGTTGATCCATTTACTTTGCAAATGAAAAAGTATGAAAAGATTGCGATCGTGAAGTTGAATTATCTTCATATTTTTTGGACTTATTTTCGTATTTTTCGGGAGGCTATAGAATTATATTTAACTTCACAGATATTCTCTATGTTTTAAAAGATAAAATGGCGTCAGTGATCGTGTCATGAGATGAGAAATTAGATAATATTTAGGCTCCTAAATGTTTTAGACATTTTAAAACTTGAACAGGTCAATTTAAAACAATAATTTATATGGCAAAGAATGATTGAGGGCATTGGACAGAAAATTTTCCACTCTTTCTTCGTTTTTTTCCATTTTGGAGGGTAGCTCCTCATATTTTTCATTTAAATATTAAGTCTTGCAAGATAATTTCTTTATAAAAAGAGAGCAAATCAGAGAGTCGTTATAACCTTGTACGAAATACTCTTTTCTGTTTCTTACATAATTGATATGATATTGGTACAAAACATAATAAATGGTTCAGCTAATTTAACTGAATCAATAAATTACACATTCTCTAAAATTACCTCCCTCTCTTTCTGCCACACCCACGTGCAAAATCATGCAGGCTTGTCTGATTGCTAAAGATTTTGGAGCTATGGTAGCTTCTATGTTTGTCGTTCTCCACCAGGACAGGGTCTCAGGGTTCGTGACATTAGGTGTGCCATTCTATCTTCCTCATTTTCTCACTTCGCACCTCCCTGAAGGCTTCTATGTGCCAAGATGGAAGGTTCAACGTTGCTTTTTTTGTTTGCCTGTTTTTAGATGACCTGATTTGGCTACTTCTAACTTCACTTGGTGTTTTTCTCACAGGAGCCTGGGCGTGCTGAATCTGATTTTGGTCGTTTTGATGCAAAAACTGTAGTAAGGAAAGTTTATATCCTGTTCTCTGGAAGTGAAATACCAATCGCTTGTGAAGACCAGGAGATCATGGACCTTGTGGACTCGTCCACTCCTTTGCCCTCTTGGTTCACTGAGGAAGATCTTGCGACCTATGGAATGTTGTATGAGAAATCGGGATTCCAAACTGCATTGCAGGTTCCTTATAGGTAAGCACGATAATTTTACTCTTACATTAGTAAGCCAATTTGTCTTGTTGCAGAATGTCTCTTGTTGGACACGTACTATACATCTATTCCCTAGAGCGCAAATCAACCTAATAGTCCCACTTAAGTAAAAGATTACTTACATTGCGAAATTCTATGGTCGCGAGTGGACTGGAAGCAGTCCTCACATTGAGGGTGAACCACTGTTTTTCCTTGTTGTTTGCTTATTTTCCGATTGAATTACATTTGCTCCTGTAGTTGAGGATTAAGGTATATTCTGTAACATCTCATTGATGCATTAATACGTTAGTATATCTATTTCATTCTCTTTTAGGTCATTTCATGAAGATATTAATAAACCAGATCCAAAAGTTGAAGTTCCGGCTCTGCTGATCATGGGCGAGAAAGATTACTTCATGAGTTCTAATGAAAATGCAGATTACATAACGAGCGGAAAAGTGAAAACATTTGTGCCAAACTTGGAGATAAATTTCATTCCAGAAGGGTGTCATTTTGTTCAAGAGCAATTTCCTGCCCAGGTGAATGACCTTATTCTCAACTTCCTCAGAATCCACAGCTAGTCATATATCCCCAAAATGCTTTTGGAATCACTCTGTATTATAAAACAAATGGACCTGTAAATATTTGAATCTCCATCAGGCTTGTAAACTATGTAAGTTTATGATTTCTACTTATTTCTTGAGATATCCTATTGTTTGCAGTGTAAATATCTAAGGTTTACAAACACATCAGTTGAGCCCTTGAATAAGCTGAATATAGGTAAGAAGCACATCATAAACAAATGATTTTTAGCAATATCATGTACTTTGCAATGTAGAATATAAATGAGTGGTGGCACACTTTTTAAGTTTATTTTATTTTACTTTTGGTCAGTGAAACTAGTCACATTTTATGAGGTTGGCCTTTATGGCATAACTAAACTATCACTAGATACAAATCAAATTTAATATAAACTGATGTTATAGCATCACTTAACTTATAATCTCCTCCTAATAATCGGTTAGACTACAAGGAATACCCCAAATCTCAATTCCCGAGATAGGCTATTATAGTTAATTAACTATTACTATCTCTTGAATTGTGATGAATAAAATACCGACGGGAAAGTCTTCTATAGTTTATATAAGATGAGCAGTAGCTTTTCATTTTGTTCAAGGTGGTATTCTAACGATCTCATTACAAGTAATAAAGTAAAAGTTATATTTTGTGTGGGGGATTAAAAATAGTTTCTTACTTTTTTATTTTTATTTTTTTAATACGAAAATTTAAACAAATAAAAAAGACTATGATCCATGTAAAAATTTCATACATACAAATATTCTAAAAAGATATTATGTTAATTCTTGAAGAAGTATAATGTAATGAATTTCAATACTCAAGAAGAATATGTTTTGTTATTCATAGAAATAACAAAAATTCTATTCATACTAATATTCTAGTAGAATAGTGTGTTGTTATTATTGAACAAGTGCAACATTATTAACATCAATATAGTGGGAAAAATATTGTGTTCGTGCTCTTGTAGAAGCATAACTTTCATTAGTAATATTTTTTGCTTTTAAAGAAGAACAATTCACACGTACAAATATTTAAAAAAGAAGATTGTTTTATAAAACAGCCTTATATAATTCAATATTTTAGAAAAATATTATACTTGGAAGAGAAAACCTTGTACAAATTTATGAAAAGTATTACTTCATACTATCAATGTTTTATAAGAATATAACATTGTTCTTGAGAAACATGACCTTAGTAAATAATAATCTTGAAAAATATGTATTTGTTCCAATTAAATTTACTTGTTAAATTTGATCTGAACTCTTTGATTAAAAATTATTCGTTGAATTAAATTCCAATTTTTTGTTAGTTGGACTCGAATAGATGTATTGGAATATCACGAGGATGTATTGCTCATTGGCTATTGTTGTCCATTTTACACTATATCGATACAAAATTAATTGGACTAATATAAATATGAGAACACCGACTTTTGATACATGTACATCAACAATTTAATTGAATTCATTACATTCCTTGAGTGAGAAATGAAACAATGAAAAAAATCTAATTTCACCAAAATATCACATTCTACTTATATGATTAAATGCTCTAGAAGAGCTGATAAAATTTATATCGAAAAAGATGTTATTTGTTCTTCACTAAATAAAAAGGGAGTCACCACTATATTTCAAATATGTATGTCATAATTAGTACATTTATATAAATATAAATACATTTGAAGTACTTAAATGATCTTTATTAGTTGACACGACCGACCAATCGACCGACCATCTGGACCAATAATAATGCAAAAATAATTAGGAATTCGAGTAAATATTATTTGAAGAACTCGGTGATTCTTCAATCCTATGAATTCTCATGTGTTGCTTGTTCTCATAATAAATAAGTTATTAAATAATTACTAGCTAAAACTGAAACTAAATTCCTTGTTCAGAAAATTATTTAGGGTTATATATGACGTTATGTCGTATTGTCACCCGTCATGTTGATCATTTAAATATAATTTTTATCTAATAGATACATCCACTAGTTTATTGCAAAGTGTTTCGCAACTTGAAGTTTGCACGATTAAGTACATGATCAAATTTTAAATTATGAATATATTTTTTAGATTATATAATCAAGATAGAGTGTTTTGTATCGCCATTGAGCCACCATCCCAAATTTTTTGATGAGTGTTAGTTGTAATTGAAATAAATTGTTTAATACAATTGATTATTAAATGCCTTCAACTAATTGCTAAACCATTATTATTGTAAACAAAATGCTATCGTTTCTCTTAGAGAATGGTATTTTACAAGCAATGACATTGACATGCATCATGCCAACATGAAATTCTCCCTTTATAATTGACTTAGGGTCAAAAGCCAAATATTTTTCATCTAAGAAATGTTAATAATGCAATATATAATTATATATACACACTCGCTCCACCGTAATGCACTAAGGTGGGTTTTAAGTAATGTTAAGAATATTTGTTTTGAACTCTTATAAAATATCTTNAGTCCGTTATATTGAGACATATTTTTGGCATAGAAAGTGATCGAATTGGAGAATGATGTCTGAATCAAAGTTGTAGCCAGATGGGTTAGCTTTCCAACGCATTTTGAATCGCCTCAATCGAATATCAGAATACAAAGTTATGATAAAAATACTGAAAGAAGGTGCAGCTGCCTGTTTAAAACAAGAAATTCCGTTAACATAATCCGTTAAAACAATAAATTCCGTTAGTTTTTCCGTTAAACCAACAAATTCCGTTAAATAGGCACTTTTTATATATAGAAAGATGTTACGGCATCACTTGAATTATAATCTCCTCCTAATAATCGGTAAGACTACAATGAATACCCCAAATCTCAATTTCCGAGATAGGCTATTATAATTAATTAATTATTACTATCTCTTGAATTGTGAATAAAATACCGAAGGGAAAGTCCTCTATAGTTTATATAGGATGAGGAGTAGCTTTTAATTTTGTTCAAGGTGGTATTCTAACGATCTCATTACAAGTAATAAAGTAAAAGTTATATTTTGTATCGGGGATTAAAAATAGTTTATTACTTTTTTATTTTTATTTTTTTAATACGAAAATTTAAACAAATAAAAAAGACTATGATCCATGTTCTTGCCCCGCTTTCCCCATCGACAGGACGCTGGTGGAAAATTTTATTAATCATATTTTAATTGGATAATTCTAAATATTTTTTTAACATGAAGATTATATGTTGTTGGTTTGTTGTACATTTTAATTATGAATGCATTGACTACATAGTTATTAGTATTAAATTGTAAAATTCATTTTGAAAAATCAACTTTGCTATGAATCCTATGATTAAGAGCCTGTTTGGTATGGATTTTGATTTTCTACAATAAATCAATTCTCATTTTCAACCACACATTCTTCAATAAGATAATATTTTCCATCACATCAATAATTTTTTCTTCTTTTTCAACCACACATTTTTCATCATATCACTATTCAAAAATCAATTCTTCCCCCAAAAATCCCTACCAAACACACTCTAATATTATGTAGGACTAAAGTGATTGAAATTGCATGATGATAATGGAGCATTGTCATATGATATGAGTTAGGGCTGTAAGCAAAAATTGCCAAATCGAAAAATCAAATCGAAAACGCAATTTTGAAACTGGTGGTTTGGTGCCGCGTGGACCCGTTAACGAAATGGTTTTGAACCAAACCAAACCGGTCAAAAATGGTTTGGTTTATGTTTGAGAATTTTAATTACGGTTTAAAATCAAATCGGACTGGCGAAAAAATATATAAAATAAAAAATTGAATTTTTTTGAAAATTTATCCAAAATTTCAATTTTGTAAATTCAATAACTTTGTCATTTTGTTGATATTTTTGTCGATTTCTAATTTCCTATTAGTTATTACGATTTACGACTCGCTCAAATCCCAACCCAACCCAACCCAACCCAACCCACTATCCTAATTTATATAAAAAAAAAAAAAATGAACTCAAACTCAAACTCTCACAAACACAACCCTAATCCCTAACCTTCCATCTCTCTCTCTCTCTCTCTCTCTCTCTCTCTCTCGCTCGCTCGCTCCTGAATTTTCCTCAAATAGTCGGTAGTCTACGGTCAGAATTTTCAGTTGCCAGCGATGGTCGCCAGTAGTCTACGGTCTGTCACAACTGATAGCCTTCAATTTCGTTGCAAGACTGCGTGATTTTTTGTGACCTGTGGGTTAGTTCTGTGAATTTTTTTTTGTGATTTTAGTTACATAACTGCGTATTCTTAAATTTTGAATGTGGAAATCGTATAAGTTATTACTAAATATAGTTTGCCATCTCGATTCTTGAAAGTCCCCAAATTCGTGATTTTTTGTGACCTGTGGATTATTTCTATTTCGAAGGTCTGTGATTTTAGTTACATAGTTGCGTGTTTTTTATTCTTGAACATGGAAATCGTCTAACTTGTCTCTAAAATTATATGATTGTGATTTTAGTTTATTATGATTTTACTTTGATTTTGTTGGTATTTAAATTTATAGTAGATATATTTATTTTATTTTAGATTTATTGCCAGTAAGATATAAATATATATTGAATTAATGACATGAAAGTAGACACTAGACAGGCAAAAAAATATATGCGAAACCGGCGGTTTAAAGCCAGACCAAACCGTTAGGTTTATGTTTGAATTTTTTTCAAACCGGTCAAAACGGTTTGGTTTAGGTTTTAGTTTTTCTCAAACCGATCGAAACGGTTTTGTTTGAAAATTTGTCAAAAATGGATAAAATCGGACCGTTTACACCCTTAATATGAGTGTTAAAATGCCAATTCAAAGCCGTAACCCTTAGCACAATTCAAAGATTTATAGATTGAACTATTATTAGTGAGTAACGAGAAATAAAATAAAATCTTGACATGTTTGGAATCAAATGACTAAATTCGCATAACAAACAAATCGATATATGTTATTCGATTTGGCTATATTGTTTGACTATATTAATTAATGATAAACATACATATATTTGCTTGAATGTATTTTATTACCTAGTAGCAATATTCCAGAAGAATATTGCGTTACTACTCTTAGAGGAATGACAATTTATAATTAATATTTTAGAATAATATTGTGTTATATATAAAATCAATACTCCAAAAAAATATTGTGTTGTATAACACAACCATAATCAATAATTATAAGAAAATTATATTGCATTGAAACAAGAACAGTTGTATATACATAAATGTTCCAAAAGAATATTGTGTCATGCTTCATGAAAAAGTATAAAAATTATTACTATTCTAGAAGAATATAACGTTGTTTTGGGGAAAAAAACACAATTTTATAATTTTATTAATATTCAAGAATAATATTTCATTGTTGATTCTGAAGAAGCTCAATTTATACCATTTCAATTAGTGTTCCGGTAGAATGTTACTCACTCTCGATGATCATAATTCTATAAGATCTAAACTTTTATATGAATATTATTATATTTCTCCTAAATAGCAAATTTATTAACAGTTTAATAATTTAGTATAATAATTTGTTTTTATTCTGGAAAAAAACAAACATTTATATTATTTCAGAATATTATTTGTCTCTAAAGGGCATGTTATTACAAATGAATTTAATATTCTATAAATAATATTATGCTATTGTTTTCGAAGAAGCATAATTTTTTGTGTATCGAGAAACTAGAAAAATATTATATCATGGTTCTTGAAGAATAATGTATTATTATAGATCAATATTATGAAAAATATTTTATAATTTTATTTTGGAAGGAGTACAATTTATATATAAACAAAAAAAATAAAAAAAAAAATTTTGTATACATATAAATATTCTAAAAAGATATTTTTTAACAATAATGTTTGTTGCTTTTAAAGGAGAACAATTCACACGTACAAATATTTAAAAATGAAGATTGTTTTATAATACAGCCTTATATAATTCAATATTTTAGAAAAATATTATACTTGGAAGAGAAAACCTTGTACAAATTTATGAAAAGTATTACTTCATACTATCAATGTTTTATAAGAATATAACGTTGTTCTTGAGAAACATGACCTTAGTAAATAATAATCTTGAAAAATATGTATTTGTTCCAATTAAATTTACTTGTTAAATTTGATCTGAACTCTTTGATTAAAAATTATTCATTGAATTAAATTCCAATTTTTTGTTAGTTGGACTCGAATAGATCAATGTATTGGAATATCATGAGGATGTATTGCTCATTGGCTATTGTTGTCCATTTTACACTATATCGATACAAAATTAATTGGACTAATATAAATATGAGAACATGATACCGACTTTTGATACATGTAGTACATCAACAATTTAATTGAATTCATTACATTCCTTGAATGAGAAATGAAACAATGAAAAAAAACCTAATTTCACCAAAATATCATATTCTACGTATATGATTTAATGCTCTAGAAGAGCTGATAAAATTTATATCGAAAAAGATGTTATTTGTTCTTCACTAAATAAAAAGGGCGTCACCACTATATTTCAAATATGTATGTCATAATTAGTACATTTATATAAATATAAATGCAATTGAAGTACTTACATGATCTTTATTAGTTGACACGACCGACCAATCGACCGACCATCTAGACCAATAATAATGCAAAAATAATTAGGAATTCGAGTAAATATTATTTGAAGAACTCGGAGATTCTTCAATCCTATGAATTCTCATGTGTTGCTTGTTCTCATAATAAATAAGTTATTAAATAATTACTAGCTAAAACTGAAACTAAATTCCTTGTTCTGAAAATTATTTAGGGTTATATATGATGTTATGTCGTATTGTCACCTGTCATGTTGATCATTTAAATATAATTTTTATCTAATAGATACATCCACTAGTTTCGCAACTTGAAGTTCGCAGGATTAAGTACATCATCAAATTTTAAATTATGAACATATTTTTTAGATTATATAATCAAGATAGAGTGTTTTGTAACGCCATTGAGCCACCATCCCAAATTTTTTGATAAGTGTTTGTTGTAATTGAAATAAATTGTTTAATACAATTGATTATTAAATGCCTTCAACTAATTGCTAAACCATTATTATTGTAAACAAAATGCTATCATTTCTCTTAGAGAATGGTATTTTACAAGCAATGACATTGACATGCATCATGCCAACATGAAATTCTCCCTTTATAATTGACTTAGAGTCAAAATCCAAATATTTTTCATCTAAGAAATGTTAATAATGCAATATATAATTATATATACACACTCACTCCACCGTAATGCACTAAGGTGGGTTTTAAGTAATGTTAAGAATATTAGTTTTGAACTCTTATAAAATATCTTAAACCCTAATAGTGGTATTTTACAATGCAGTTTGTCGACTATCATTTTAATTTGACGACTCAGCATTAGGGGAATGAATTAAGTAGCTGAAAATAATAAATATAATGCATCTTTATGTTATCTAAGTTCTCGTACAAGATAATTTGAATCAGAAGTTGAAAAGATAATTAATTTAGGCATGTTTAATGTAGTTTTTTTAGAATAAATTATTTTATTGAGAGTGCCCTGTTTTCTTAGAGCTCCTCATTCTTGGACATAGAACGTTCAAATCGACTGTTTCTTAAATCATCTCACATAATTCATTACGAGCTATGATTTGAGCCAGGTAATGACGTACAAATTCTCACATGCTCAATATCTGCACATTTAACCCAAGTAAGCAAATGTCTCCAAAATTTATCTTTACTTTAGTCCCTCAACTTTTTAAGAATTATTAAAAGATATCCAATTTGATGTTTAGCATTAAATGATCATTCTTAACACATTAATCTTCTATTCTCCACTTTATATTTTTAAATATTTACACTGAAGTCTCCAATAAACACTAAAAATTGCAAATTAACCCAAAATTTCCCAAGATTTGAACATATCTCACATTCCATAAAGATTTGGGCATTAAACATTCTGATGCATTATAGTTTCCAATTTGCTTACTTTTTGATGCAATGGAGTTGACTAAGAAAACATCATAATTGGCTGAGAAAATAGCACAATTAAAACAGTCCATAATTAAGGCTTTATTTCCATTTAGTTGATTGTATTCCTTCTTTGTTTATTTCCTTGGTTACCTGCATCAGTCAGAGATTATTTCCCATCTATTAATTGGCCTTTATCTTGTGCTCAACAAGTGATAAAAGAGTAATGTCATTCATTGTCAGCGACTGCAGTAATTATTCTTATGTGATAGCTTTTTATTTGAAACATTATCTTGTTGTTTGAAACAACAGAATTACAAGAAAATAATGTGTCAGATAATAAATTGTTATATAGTATGACCATTGCAGTTGTTGATTATCAATAGCATTATTTGATAAGAAAACCAATTAGGATTGATATTGTGGAGTGAAATGATTGGAATAAAATTACATATTTCAGCTTGTAAAATTAACAATCCAATATCGGTATTCTCTGGTCGAGTGTTCTCCCCTGCTTCCGCCTACATCAATCTTCCTTTTGACAGTTGCGGCAAGTGAACAGAATGACCATTGCGGCATAGTACTGAAATGGAACTTACCCAGCAGGTAACTCTGTACATATAATTGAGATTTGCATGCCCCTGATTTACTTCTTTTATTGAATACTATTATCAGTTGTCATAACTGTGGGAGTAGGAAAACATTGACATTGTATGTTTATTTCTGCTTTTTGACCTTTTTCACCTGCTGGTATTATTGAAGTTGTAAATTTAAAGCAAACGAGAAACTGGAAAATCGCCATAAACAGAAATACTTAATCGTCAACAAAGTAGAAATTACTTCTCGGTATTCACGGTATGAAGTATTTGCTTTTCCTCTTATTTCTACTCGAGATCAAAGAATTTCTGAAGGAGAAAGCCAAGAGCATGCTATATACATTTGAGATACACAGTGCGGGCTCGTGTCTTATTCCCATATACAAAGTTCCAGGATTAACTTTTGTTACTTTTGCTTCTTTCCACCAGCCAGAATACGTTGAATCTGTAGCCCTCTGCTGAATGCCTGGTTGAAAAGCAGCCTAGTTTGGAACTCAGAGACAAATGGGAACCAGGCCAAGACTGCCACAGGCGTAAAGATCACTATCCCCATTATATACTCGTATCCTCTGGCTAGAGCTTTAACAGATCTCCACATTCCGACTCCCTTCACTATTGGCCTGCAAGCTTGTGCTATCTGCACCAAATGGTACCAAAATTCACAATTAAAATTGACATCTGATTAGCGTCACGGAATTTTTTGTAAATCATTATCACAAAAAAGTGTACAAGTGCACCTGCAGAAGAGCCCATCCAGTTGGCATGAAAGCTAGTAAACTCGCAAAAATGTCTCCAACTCTGAGTTCAAGGAATGTAAAGAAAAAGACCAATATAACTATGAAGCCAATAAACAGAAATAGTTTCAGAAGTCTAAACATCAGCTGAAAATCTGCACTGAATTTCTTCCTTCCCATGGAGACAATCTGCAGATAAAAGATATATGATGTGAGGGAGGTACAGAGACATCTGGCACATAGGAAGTCATTATCTTTTCTGAATTTACAACAAATGTTTGACCATTTACCTTTAGAATGAGCATCACAGCAACAATAACCAGCCAGGATAGACCATAAACCTGTAATCACAACAGCAGGCTAGGTTTCAAAAATTATTCGAAACCTTCAACAGGAGCCCGGTCTTAGTTTATATTATTGATTACTTAATTGGTTTTGTTCATTGAAAAACAAGAAGAAAAATTTAAACCAAAATTCATATGCTCACCACGATACTTTTGTCCTTCTGGGCCACATGCAAATGATAAACGATTCCGTACTGGTAGATGAAAAAGCGCAGAGAAAGTACAATTTCCCAGAAACGGCCTATTAAACCAGTGTGCTGGAGATGCTCTTGTTCCTCATCCCACCAGGACTCCCAACTCTTGGTTGCAGGAACACCAATCCCGCCACGATTACTTATCCACTTAGTCCAATCTTCAAAGTCGTCCACTATTTTCTGCCATTCAAATCCGGAAGGATTGAAAAGAAAAGGAGAAAACAACCAGGAGCCCACAAGAAACCACATTGTGATAGTAAGAAAAAAGAAAGCAGTAGAATTGTTTACTGCTGAGCCATAAGCATGATATGTTATAAGCAAAATCAACAGTTCCATCGCTTTAGTAAAATGACTCCTAGAGTACATTCTGTAGTTCTCAGCAAACTTTTCATGTCGCACGACAAATCCACGCCCAGTGGCTCTGTATTTGGCTCCACCATGTAAAATTGTCCTTCCAAAGTAATGGAGTTTTGTGCCAAGAGAGAAAGTAAAGAAGACGGATGCCAGCTGAAGCTGCATAATTATTATATCACCAGAAGCAGTTCTAAAGCCTCGCTCTAGACCAATTTCCATGACCATGGGCAACGACATCAAAAGACCTAGTTGAACAATAGACTGTGATGCCATGACAACCTTCAGCGCTTCATCTCCCTTAGCTCTTGCAAATTTGACTATGGTTTTCTCTAGTCCACTCACTGCAAGATAGAGCTTGCCATACAAATACGCGTAGACAGTAAGAACTACCAACTGCAAAGTATTAAGGAATACTAGGGTTAGTCCACTAGAGGAACGCGCAATGAAACAAAATTTTCAAATTTTGTATGCCATGAAAGCAATAAGTCAAAAGGATTAAGGTTAAAAGAGGCAGTAGTAGTAGACCAGAATTAACATGGGTTAGTTCACTTGAGGAACACATTATCAAACAAAATTTTCAAATTTTGTATGCCATAAAAAATATAATATCAAAAAGATTAAGTTAGCAGAAGTAGTAGACCAAACATAACATGAGGTTGACATGTCTGCCAAATAATTGAATTCATTAGATCTTTTAGTAGATGTACCAATGTTCGAAGAAATGTGTGAGAAAACAAATATTAATGTAGCCGACCCCAAATAAATGGGATAAGGAATAGTTTGTGTTTGCTTTTGTAGCTGCTTGTTTTAACACCTCTTTCCCTAATTACCTGGATAAGGGAAAAATACTAAATATTAAAGATTGTTGCCAGCCCATTTCAAGAAAACAAATGATAAATATACTTCAAAATTGTTCTTTTTAATTTCATTTTTTCCTTTTCTTAAAGCATTAGTGAAGCCAAATTTATATACTCACTTTTATGACCAGAAAGTAAAATATATTACCATTGAACTGACATAAAACCCAGTGGTTGTATAGTAACATGACAGCATGCGGAAGAAGTCAAAACGATGCCCTAATCTGTAGATATCACGGCTGAGTGTCTGTTCCCCATTACCACATGCAACTTTGGCTTCAAAAAGTGATATTTGGTTGAGGCCAACATCTCGTCCCTTGCCAACTTGGATATATTCATGGTGAGTAACATTTCCACGTCTTAGAGTTGAATTAAAACCTTCAGAAAGTAAAATATGTCAGATTGTAAGTAGAAACTGTAAATGCAAGAGCAAATGGTGTGGTTTAAAGATCTCACCAGCAAATATATCCTCGCTGAGATTAATACCTCTTGAAGCTTTGCTAATTCCACCACGAGTGATGTGAAATATTCTATCAAATACATCTGGATGTCCATAGTGGAATCGCACCCTAAACAAACCAATTAGAGAGATCAAATCATGCATATTTTCAGCAATTCAAGATGGATCATCAAAATAATCTAATAGGATGATTTTTTTCAGAATCTGGCTGCTTTTGCTACTTCTGCATTGTATTCCCTCTTTTGTGGAACTGTTTGTTCGCGCCGAATGTTAATTTTACACAGTTGTTTTCAAAAATAAATAGTCAGATGGAGCATGCTCAAGCAGGGAAGTGTCAATGTGTCTGAATGTGTATATCTTGTTGTATTGCAAAGTCATGAATCTATACTATAATATAGGTGTTTGTATTGTTCAAAAAGGAAAAACTTACTTCCTAAAAATACTACATGCAATCATGGGATACTCTTAGAGTCGTCCATAATTTACAATTATGGAATCAACTAGCACTCAGCCTTCTTCAGCATATCAGCTAATAATCAGCCTTTGACTACCCATTTTATAAGGATTGATTTGTCAACATTAGTTTACTGATTTATACTGCACACAATCAGCCTTCATGAGCAAATCAACTAATAATCAGCATTTGACTATCCATTTTATAGAGATGGAATTGTCAACATTATTTCCCTGTTTTATGTTTCTCGTCTGATTAACATCTCCCTTAAATTGATACGGGGATCAAGAAGCATCAATTTGTGTCGGTGATGGGTAAGAGCCTTGGTGAACAAATTGGTTGTCTAAAGAACACCGGAAATATGAGGAAGAGTAAGCACACCCCTAACAAAAGCTTCGAGTATGGGATCACAATCCACTTCGATGTGCTTAGTCCGCTCATGAGAGAGTGGATTAGATGCAATCTGAATAGCACTTGTGTTGTCAGCATAAAGCATAGCGGGCTAGAGCTAAGGAAAACCAAGTTATGCCAACAACCCACGAAGCACACAATCTCAGAACACGAAATAGACATAGCATAATACTCAGACTCTATAGAAGATTTTGAAACACTAGCGTACTTCTTACTCTTCTAAGAGATAAGAGCATTTTCGAGAAACATGTACCAACCCGTGACAGAACGAGTGTCCGCATAGCTGCATCGTTGTAACCGACTATTAGAATAGAAGATCCAACCGAAAAGAACAACCTACGTCGAGAAGTCCTATAAAGACAAAGAATAATACGGCGAATAACAACAAGATGAAGGTGGCGAGGTGCTTGCATAAATTGACTAACTTGTTGAACAGCAAATGAACCTTAAGGCCGAGAAAATACTACAGATGTCCAAGATCCTTCATATAGAAAGAAGCTTTTAGGTGATGTTGTAACTGCTCAATCAACTTAGAGTTCGTTACTACAATCATGATATCATCCACATAGACCACAAGCAAGACAATCTCGGTAGTAGCCTTTTGGAGAAAGAGATTACTTTGAACAAAATTGAAATCAAGAAGAGTGGAACGAAACTTATCAAACCAAGCACGCGGTGCTTGCTTTAAGCCATAGAGTTTCCATTTTAGGCGATAAACATCAAAAGATGGTGTAGAAATAGACCTTGGGGAAGAGTTATATACATTTCCTCCTTGAGGTCTCTATGTAGAAAAGTGTTCTTAACATCCATTAGCTAGAGAGCCTAGCCTGAAGAGGCAACAATGACCAAGACGGTCTGCACCTTAGTCATCTTAGCAACAGACATAAAAGTTTATTCATAATCAACGCTATACTCCTGACAATTTTCAAGGGCCACTAGACGAGCCTTGTACCTTTCTAAGGAACCATCAGAGTGAAACTTAACTGAATAGACCCATTTACACCTGGTATGTCTCACACCAGGAGGATAAGATACAATATCTCAAGTGTGATTTTTCAGTCGTACTTGAAGCTCTTGTTGTATAGCTTACTGTAAACAAAGTTGAAGAGATGCTTGAGAATAAGAACAAGGCACTGCAATAGTATCCAAAGTCACAAAAAGTGATGTATAAGTAAAACTATTAACTATCCAAGGGTTGAGTGACTTTGCTAGACCATCGAGGTTCAATGTCCACTCAGGTAGGGAATCAGAATTGGGAATCAACGTTATTGAGCATCGACGACTCGCAGGTATACAAAGCCTAGCAAGCGTTCTACGTCTAAATGTATCGGGCACTGTCCTATTTGCGAACACCAGGTTACATATTTGCATTGCCAATCATATGATTTGAGGCACCCGAATCCACAAATCAAGAAGGTGGGGGCTGAAAGTCCTTAAAGTAAATTGTCTAAGTGGTCTCCTTTGTCTCATTGTTTATCTCGTGATCATTTGATTCCACCTCTACAAAGGCTAGCTCCTATTCCTCCTTCTCTTCCTTCATCATCATTGGTCCTTCGTTCGTAGTGGTCATTGTATAGTGAGAAAGCTCTCCCTTACATCCCCTAAACAAATCAATAGGAAATGCTGTCCGAAAGCAAAGAAAACTTACATAATCTTTTGTTGTACCATTTCGGACGTGAGTCCAAGCTAATTAACACCAGCTGGTCCAGTCGAGATGGATGCAACATTCTATAAAAGATCTGAAGCCACTGGTGAGATTTGTAGATCCGCATGAAATGCTTGTGCCTGTTTGTTTTAGGGTTGTATTGGACATTTCTTAATGATATAGCCATCCTTCTTGCAATAGTTGCAGAATTTCTTGCTATAATTCCGTAAATTATGCCCATATGCCTTGCTGCTGTATCATTGAATTTTCGACAGGTTTCTTCCTCTTCTCTAAGTAGCATAGGCCACGTTCACTGCCTCGTAATTAATACTATCTTATGTCATTCCAAGTTGAGTAGATCCCATCAAACGAGGAGACGGGATCATGATATAGTAAACCTATCCGAGTAGTCTCAAATTCTAATCTCAACTTCATTAGAAATTGATCTCTCTGCATGAACATCCTAAACTGCACTTTATGCTTCTTGAGGAACTTTAACACGAATAATACCCTAATACTCTATAAATTAAAAAACCCACCATAAAATTGTCCGATGGACAGATTACCTTGACTGTAATTAGCAAGCTCCAACTCCAATTGAACCTTCTAGCCCTGTTGTCTTGATTGTAGACACGCCTCAGATACCACCACATCAATTTAGCAGTTGTGAAGGAACGAAGATTATTCACCACGTAAACTCTTGCATTCTTGCTTTCCCATTAAACAAGATATGTTCCACTGTCAAGAGCTTCTCTCGCCATCTATATATCCCCACAACTCCTTCCCTTTCATGACATTCTAAATTGGAACTCCGAGGCCAAGTAATTTTTTTCCCATTGAAAGGCACAATAGCGTTTCCTCCTGACATCATGAAACAGCATTGACTTCTAAAGAATTCAGGCAATCCGCAACACATATATCAACCGCTGATTGGAAAGAAGCCAAGAAAATTTGTACCACACTATCTAGAAAAGACTGAACTCAGCAGGTATCAAGAGACCTTGATAAAGCCCAGAATTAATACCTTCAAACTCCAGACAGGAAGCTTCCAAGAAACACTAGAAATCCTCCAAGAAAACACACCACCTAGATTTACAGAATTGACTTGAAAATAGCTCTGATACCATGTCAATGCGTCTGAATGTGTATATCTCGTTGTATTGGAAAGTCATAAATCTATAGAATTATATAGGTGTTGTATTCTATACAAAAGGAAAAACTTACTTCCTAAAAATACTACCAACAATCATTGGATACTCTTAAAGTCAGCCTTAATTTACAATTATGGAATCAACTAGCAATCAGACTTCTTCAACACAACAGCTAATAATCATCCTTTGACCATCCATTTTATAAGGATTGATTTTTCAACATTAGTTCTTGATTTATACAGCACACAATCAGCCTTCATCAACAAATCAACTAGTAATCAGCCTTTGACTACCCATTTTATAGAGATAGATTTGTCAACATTAGTTCCCTGTTTTATGCTGCACATCTGATTAACAGGAAGAATTTTTTTTTCCTCCTTTGTCTTTGGAACAAAAATGACTACCCTTTCTTTTCATCTTTTGATGATTAGCAACCTTTCATGTTTGAATAATTATCTAAATGAAACACCATGCTAAAAGCAATTGAGTCATCAATCATCTTTTGATGATTAGCAACCTTCATGTTTGAATAATTATTTAAATGAAACAACATGCTAAAAGCAATTGAGTCATCCATTATTTTATGTAGCACTAATCATACTTCAAATGCTTGTGATTGATAATCAGTGCTTTGTTCCGTTGAAGATAAAGAAGGTACAAGTTCTTGGTCAAGCTAAAACACAAACCAATAAAGACGATGACTTTTTATTCAATACTTAAATCAGTTCACAAAATAAAAAAGAACATACTTCAAAGGTCTTGCAAGAACCCTTTGACCAATGGTGACAAAGCTGGTTTCTTGATTTGACATAAACCAAGCCAATGATGACACGCTGCAGTTAAGATGGGACATTAAATCAGATATAGCTTAATCTGAATGTAATGAATTAAATAAAGCTTAAACCTAGCCAACCTTCCAGTGAAGATATGTTCACGAACACCCAAAATTGTAGGTGGTCTCACCCCGTGATCCTCGTTAAATTCCTCGAGAAGGTTCCGCATCTTAAAAGCTTCTTCTAAATAATTGTCCTACAAAAAGAAGCAGGCAACTATGTTCTTCTTGGCTAAACAAATTCAGCTATATAATGAATCCAATTTTCTCCAATATACCTGATTCATATCTATGGTCTGAAGAGCTTCCCCACGACTAAAAATAATAGCATGGTTTTGGTTTTCAGGTTTCCCTTCTCCAATTTTTGCTGAGCCAGGCAACTTTATGCGGTAAATTTCCTTTAGGGAGAAACAAAAACACTAAGCCCTTGAGTTGCAACAAAATTAACTTTGTGTTTCATTTGGAATTAAAAATGATATACCTGATCAAGATCATCAACAGCTTTTACCAATACTGAATAATAAACCTTTTGGTTTTTTCCACCTTTCATTTCTTCGACTTCATCTATATATGCTACACGGAGGGATGGATTACTGTAAAAATCAAGCATAAGATTGCAAAATCAAATTAGCTCAATAAATGAAGGCTTAAGAATCTTCAATTTAACATATTAACTTCTCACTGTCTCAAGAATATAACTTACTTAACCATCAAATTCAAAATGTCAGTTGCACGACGATCTCCACTGCGTTTCTGGTTCCCATAGTTCTGACAGGTGGCAACGTATGTGAATTTCATGTCAGCTACAGCTTCTAATTCAGAATATAAGGATCTTTGGCTTTTCCTATCTTCCTCTGACGGTGCTGTTATACTTTTGTATCCTTCAAGTATCTCTGTTGAGTTTAGGCTAAAGCAGTTAAAATTCAGAAACTAGCCTGAGATAATTTGGTAGTTAACATCTCAATTCAGAGAATGCCAGAGACATTCTAGAACATACAAGTTAGAAGCATTTCTTTATGTGGTTGCACAGTTTGGTCAGAGAGTCGAACATAATGCAAAACAGCTACCAATTTTTTTCTGAAGTGATTAATAGACAAATGGGTTTAGGAATAATTTTTCTAAATTAACAAATATTTTGTATACTTCAAAATAATTGAACTTTAGCACCAATTTTCTGAAACTAAACCTCACATGAATGTCATAAACTAAGCATCTTTCCTTTTAATTTCAAGACACTCAAACTCTTGACATTTCAACTCTATGATCACATCCCTTACATATCCCAATAAGACTCATCTTACCGTTTTCGGTAGCCATGTCGAGAAAAGCCTGAAGCTTCAAAGCCCGTCTGTAATACATCATTCCTCTCACTGCAGAAGAATAAATATTGTAAAACAAACAATGTGAATGGAAAAGGGAAGGTGAACACGGGGGACACTCAACTAACCTGTTCTGCAAAGAGTTTGTCCTCTCAAGGAGGCCCAGTGACGTAGCTGCAGTATGTTCTCTTCATTTTCCCAAATCTCATACTCTTTGCAATTTACACGCTCCATGAAGTTATTCCATTCATCTGAACAAGATATTCGGTGTTCAAATTGATAACACAATTCTACATCAGTAAAATGAAACGGTACAACACTTTAAAGTGAAATTGCATGTAAAAATGAGAGAAATTATGAACACCTGGATAAATTTTTTGAAGGTAATATATGATTGATACACCATCTTCGTTCTCCATTTCAAGGTCACTCTTGGAATAGACAGTTTCCTCGCTGTAGTACGGAGTCATGACACTGCATGCCAATTATAAAATTAATAATTTTTGAGAAATACATTACAATAACTTACAAATTCACACACGCCCTACTAATGGTGAAAGCCAGGAAATTTAGGTAGGCGGTCGAAACGTATATGTACTGTGTATATATTAAGAAATTCAAAATTTCCATGTAAAATTAGAAAATTCTGAAAATGTTGCAGTGGCGGTCACTTCTCCACTCCAGCGACTAACTAAGCCCTTGTTTGACACCCTTTAATTTATTTTAATTTTTGCGACAATATCATTTTCAACCATACATTCACACAACAAAATATTCTACATGTAAACTCAAAACTTTTCCCTATTTTTTAACCACACATTCTCCAAAAAAATACTATTCAAAACTCATTTTTTTAGTTTAATAGGAATCAAACTGGGGCTAAATGTGTTGTTGGAAGTATAAAAAATTAGAATAGCGGAACGTTTATTCAACAAGCTCATAGCATGTCCATAAACATGAATCACCTACCGTACAACTTATCACCTCCACAAACAGGAATATAGTAAATATAGACAGCACACATACGCTCTCTGCATTGCATACATAGAAATGACTTGGAACAGCACCTGAATGAAAGCATTTTGCGAACTCTAGGTGCACGCGGCATATCCATAAAGAGCGAATTTGTGAAAAATGCTATCCTCCGGCGTGCTTCAAGGTTTGTTGGCACATCAATTGCAGATTCTTTTACTGTTAAGAGCAGATAAAGACGCCGTATCTATGATAAAATCATGCATATTAGTGCTTCATTTAGTCACCATATACTGAATGTTCCTATGTTCCTATATATCTTTATATAGATATGAACAAAACAAATTATATACTTATATGTGCTATGTGTGTAGGCTCATTGTGTGTACCTGCTCTTCCCATTGTGCTGTATTTGGAGTATTGGCAAAAAGTTGCCTTCCACTATCCTTGCTACTATGACTAAGTTCAGCCAGTTCACTGCATTAAAATGAATGCAATTGAATCTCATAAAGCACTCTCAGAAACCAATACTGATACTGTTTCGCATGTTTTAAAGAATAGCAATAACGATACTTCTGCAAGATGAACAATCTACAAACCGGATCTCATTCACCATCATGTCACGGGTAACTACTTCTAACATATCTTGCAACAACAAAACCACTCTATCTTTCTTGGATGGATCACCGTCTTTCTGCAACATGCAAAGAAAATTTCATTAACATGAAAGTGAAATTTATAGCTTGTGCATAGTAAGCACAAATTACTTACCAATATCTCCACAAGCTCTACAAACTTTTTATAAAGATTAGGTAAAGGCTTCATTCTGAAATTCGCAAGGAACGTGCTCTTGTGTATGTTGCTTTCAACTTCTTTAAAGATGATTCCAATTATCCTGTTCCATGGAAGCTGATATCAGAACTTCACTAATGATAACAATAATCTTTGATCTTTTCTATACAGCTCATTCTCTACGATAATTTAATGGGAAAAACTAATGAACAGAATGTATGATTTAATAGTCAACAAATCAAATGACAATTTTCAGTTTCTAACAATCAAACTGAAATTTTTAATCACAAAAGAGAAGGGTTGCATTAAAAATACCATACAAACAATGTGTTCTATATAAATGTCGTGGAGAGTTCACTATTTAGATTATCTTTTTGTGCTACTCACAAGTCTTAGCGAGATTCTGATCCACACAAGAAAGGGAGAGAGCAAATGACTAGAATATTAAACAAAAGAAGAAACTGGAAGCTGTATTCAACATAACGATGACAACTCGAGAATACAAATGACTATATAACCTTCATATACACATAAATGGAAATAGTGGGAGTAGATTTACAGTAAGGCTGAAAACTGGTTCTAGGAGCCTCACACAGTCCAAGAACATACTGGAAATAGCAGACACAAGTTCACAAGTCTAATCAAACTTAATTCGATGAGCTAATACAGCAATAAACTGAACAACCTTTTTTCAGTTTCCCAAACAATCAAGGCATTTAGAACAAGTTTGAATGATTCATAGCATTCGACAACAGCACATTTCATGTACTCATCAGCACATATACGCTTCCAAAGGTCAGCATCCTTTGTTCGAAATTGAACTGCAATATCCAACGCAATTGGAATCTGCAAAAGCCGACAGTCAACAAGAATACAAAAAACAGTCACGTCTGGCACAGTAAGTCCGTATTACCTTGCTAGCAAGTAAAAAAGGAGGCCACTGAATTAATTTTAGGCTAAGATCTGATGAATATGGAACGAGGAGCAAATCCATCTCCCTGGAGGTGAATAGTACCAATTTTAGTTCCTACTGTATGGAAAAATAGAACCTAAGGATTGGAAAAAAAAATACAGTCAGATGTAGGGGCCTTTCCTGTCACTTATAAGATCTTCTTCACGAAAGCTACATATTACTTCATTCCATAACTGAGAAAATTTTGCAGCTTCAGTTCTCTTACTTGCTGTAACCTATAGATGTTGAAAAAATATAAGTTCAGAATTGGATTATACTACTCATTACTTAGGGGTGCCAAATCATATCCATTGCAGAAGGATTAAACGGATACCTCGTGAAAGCGCTTTGAGAGAGAAAACCCTCTTTTTCGATTTTTGTCGGAAGGTACCAGATAAGTGTTGAATGCACCAGGTAAAGAATGAAAGCGCGACCTTAGCATACTAAGAGTTCGTATCTGCGGAGAGACAAGGGGACAATAAAGAGATCAACTACAAATGAACTGGAATTATCAGATGTAAAAGGCATCAGCTTCAGTGATTAGATATGACAGCCGCCACTACAACAGAATGATCCCAATACTAAATTATATGTGTTTTATGTCTCCATCTATTAGAAAAGGGGAAAAATAGAGAACAGTGCCTGATATAGATGCTATTAACATATAATTTTTTACAGGACAGTAATTCTATGACATCTCCAACTACTATCCTGGAAATAAAGTTGTGTCAGCTAGGAATATAATTATCATGGACTCCTATTTTCCTATCACAATAATATTTGATCAATTTAGATAGAGTTCACATTTCCTGATGTTTATTCCAATAGCCCAGGACCTCTTTCCAGGTTGGAAAAATAAAGCAGATGTGACTTTTATATTTCGAAAGTAAATATGATGGCATTTGGAGACGATGCAAGAAATTTGACTCGGAACCTAAAAACAGAACAAGAAAGAGTTTACTAAAGGCTGGTACCTCGCCAAGACGACCAAAGGCCCCAATAAAACCTCCATACAGGGTGGAGTATATAGCATACCAAATCTGAGGGTCCATAAAATAAACCTGCATAAAATTCATAGAGCCACAAGACATTATATTACAGAGAATAAACAGCTATAATTGGAATAAAAAGAAAAAAAGAATATGAGATGAAACTAAAAATAAGATTAAATATAATAAAAAAAGACAAACCAAAATAACTGGGGCCCAAAGTGCGAGAACAGCACCATAGTTGTGCTTAGCTGCATTGATGTAAACCTTTGTTAACCTGAAATTTTATATTGAGAAATATGGAAAGAAATTGATAGAACTAGATACTTGCCATCAGGGAAAAACTCATGCCAAGCATATTCAATACGATGAATATTCATTATATCTTTCGTGGGCTTTACCAGAGGTTTTATCTGGATAAAACCAGAAACTGAAATTAGAAATAAAGCACCCCTAGTGTTGAATATTTTATGAATTAACTTAAAGATGTGAAATTACCATCATAAAATAACTAAACGCGAATTTAGAACACAGAAGCAGCACCCAAAAGAGAGTATACCTGATATCAATCAATAAGAATTGTAGGTAGGTAATGTAGAACACATAAACAGAATTAAGGGTTGGACAATTTATGTAAAACATACTTGATCAGTGTGAATTGACTTTCATGCATTCCCCTTCCAACATAGATTCTTGGCTGCATAAGAAGCCAAGCCAAGTTTACAGCAGATCAGTTTTTAACACACAAGAAAGAAGGAATGTAAAAATGAAAACCGTAATCCCCTAATTTTATCTGCAGAAACACATCAAAACTTGGATATTTTATAAAATTAGGTAAGAAACTTAATCGTAATTTCATAAGTATGCTGAAGTTTCTTGCCTATATACAACTATGTTTATGTTTTGCCAGTACAATCTCATTCCTCTACATTTCCGCTCTTTTTCCAAATTTATTAGAAGGATAATTCAGTAAATACATCAAATTCCACATGCAAATGAAAACAGCTGACTGAAAAAAAAAATTTAATTAATTCAACGAAGCTTAAATAGAAAATCTAAAATTTTTGAAGAACTCTAATACTTGGCTTGGTGGTTAGTCGGAGCTGTAATGCTGAAATCAATGCAAACAGCAATCTACCACTTGTTTGCTGATGTGGACAGACAATAAATTGAATAGTGAATCTTTTCGTGCTGAATTATTTAATTAAGAGATCAAACAAAAAAAAATGTTACGATTACTGTAATGATCATCATGTTAAAAATTTTAACTTAGGAGGAAAATGAAACAAAACCAAAAGGAGAAGACAAATAAATCAAAGAAAACAGAGCTAATATTCTGAAGAAGCTAAAAGACCTAGAAGCATGTACTCTCCCAGTATAACCTCTTAAGTGTATATACATACATCAAATGGAATTTGTTTCTCGCAAATGAGAGAACTTAATCGCTACCAAAATTTGATAACAAAAGGGCACATGTTTCCAAACACGTAAAAATTGGATGTTCATTCATTAATAGATGGTAATCGAACATCAAAGTCAGACCTCATATTTCAGATTAATACTGGCTAGTGAAAGGATGTAGCTATTCTGATAAAGAACACTTCTGGTATTAATATTGAATAGCTTAACCTTATCAAAAGCATGAGACAGTACTAGCTTAGGAATAGAAAAGAAAAGGTGAGCGAAGATGTACCTGCGACCACCATAGGAGAAACCTTACAATTAACCAATCCGAGTTCTCAATCCTACGTCTGAGCATTGGGAATACAAATAGAATTGCCGCCAATAAATTTGGCAGCAGGTACACTACCACAGCCAAGATATATAAAGGAGGTACACCCTTAACTTTGTCAAGGAATGAGAGCACATCATCGATATTGAAAAATGAAAATGAATTGTCTTGGTGTAGATAGCATATAGGAAGGATAATGAACCATGCAAGGCTGACAATTATCTTGAGAATGTTCCTCAAAACATCAGTGAATGTCCATCGAAGATAACCTGGGAAGTTTAGTAGGAGGTCCAAAATACCTAGCAAATTCAAAAACGAATTCCTGATAAATAAGGTGACAAGTCAAAATCTAAAGCCTAAATCAAATGAGTAAAAAGAAATGAAATGCTGAGCTAGTTTCAGAGCTAAAGCTACATACAAGTAGTTTCAACACCAAATAGTAACTTCTTAATCATAGATATCATAGTCTTGAGTATAAAAATAAGAATTGCATACTCTGAAGGAAGCGGAGAAAGGCTGCTGTGATAAATATACTGGAAAGTTTATATAAGACATCCTTTTGGAAGATATCAAATAAAGAGACGTTACTCCATGCAATGATAATCATGACCTGCAATTGAATAATCTCAACTTTTGAACAAGGACCTAAAGCAAGGAGCAAAGAAACTCTTTATTGATCATTTAGCCCCATTTTTTGGGAAGTGTATTTTGGAAAGTGATTTTTTGGAGAATGTGTGGTTAAAAAATAGATAAAATTTTCAGATTTACATGTAAAATTATTTTATGGAAGAATGTATGGTTGAAAATGAATTTCGGAAAAATGAGTTTTGGGAAAAATAGAGCTCAAACAAGGATTTCATATACTCGAATAATATACCTGCAGTCCAAGTATGAGAAATGTCCAAAGACGATCAAAACTTCGGAAAATATGCCAAAAGCTCCTGGTTTCCACAAAAAATGATTTCCCCATATATCCAGGCTTTTTCTGAGAAGCTTGTTTCCCCTGGAAAAGCAGTCCAACTAAGAGAACAAGCAAAGACTTTTATTCACATAAAGAGACACATCTGCACAGGATACAGATCTTACCTGTGCTACAGCTCGTGTTGATTTGAAAAACTCACCATCGTCACGAATGGGCCAACCCAAAGAGAAGCAATCCGAAGACCTGAAAAGAATAGGCCAAATCATACTCCCAGAGAAAATAAGGCGAGTAAACCACCATGGCACCATCCATCTTTATTACTTACTTTATTTATTAACTTAACTTCTTACCAGAAATACTCATTTAGATCATCGTAGTTGCACCAGGTTGAGTGTGAGGATTTCCCATTTTTGCTTTTCTTGGCTTCCTGTTACATGATTAAAAACATTTTGTGAACTCCAAGCAGAGAGGCTTTTAGGTTCTACAACTATTCAATTCAGCTTCACAGTAAAGTACCGTTTCAATCACTCGATAAATGGGTGTTATAACTTTCCGCAAGAAAGATTCATCATCCCCACCATAAGAAGGCTTGATGTTTTCTCCAGTAACAATGCTGACATTTCCAGCTAAGAGACCATGAAGTTCATATGCCATCTGTACATGTATTTACACAATCGGAGAGAAGTGTGTTAAAGAATATATACATGAGTAGAGCAAGCATTTTATTGCTCATTGACTGGGCAATCCGTCATGTGAAAAGTACTTGAATAGTCGATTGACTTAAATTAACAGATAGATTACGATGAATTAAACAGCGCACATTGTGAAAAATATAGCACAGGCACTCTGGCATGAAGCGTATGTTAGCTGCTTCCCCCCAGATAAGAAGATAAAGGCTCGTGTATAGTAACTTTCTCTGTTGCACTTCTTGCTGCTTTTGAGGGAGCCTACAAGCAGTAAGAGATATTCACTCTTCATCAAGAGATCATATTACTCATTGAAGAGATTATGTTGCCCAAGTCTGTTGCATAACCACAATCATCTCACCTTAAGCTGTGTTTTCTTCCCAAATATTTACACCATGTTTTGTAGTTCTTGAAAAGCTTGTTCACAAAGGCATCAACAGCTCTATCATCAAGCTGAATAAAATCATTAAGTTATCAAGCAATTTCCTTTGCCTAAGTTTAAAAAATTTATGCACGTAAACATACAAGTCTAGCTATTAAAGAAAATAAAGCTCTGGATTTGAAAGAGTAGACATGGAAAATTAACCTAATATCGTCAAGGAGGAGAAATTACAGCTTTCAAGAAAGTCAGTTACAAGGAAAATAAATTACACCAGCAAAATGTAACACAAAAGATTTCAGTTTGACTTCAAGGTCCAAATGAACCCAAGAGACATCTGAAATGCAGATAGAGATTTTATTTTCCATACGATCAAAGGTGTAGGACAATAGAATTTAAGAGATTTAGGAGATTGAAATGAATTTAGAGAATTGGCAGGTACGAAAGTTTATACTCTGCTTAGTGGTTCGGGCTTGGGGATTAGCCTTGTGTGAATATTTGCAAGCAATAAAATCAAATGCTCCCTCTGGTTCCTGACATTATCCTTCTGTAGACATCAAAATCACCTTGTGACTACATTTTCGTTACAAACATTAAATCATTATGTCAATTGTTTATTAAAGAAGACATGCCTGAAACCCAAACATAGCCCTCAGCCAATCAAGAAGGTCCAACTCCCCTGCTTTCTGCCTCTGCTGTTCAAATGAGGCCGGCCAATTTAAGCCTCGAGTGTTCCATAAAGTGGCCGCAGCAGCTTTCACCTGGCGATAGAGTGCAGCGCCTTAATATATGTGATACTAATATTTCTAAACATGCACGTGTTTTCATACTTATGACGGTGCGCAGATGGTACAAATCGGTCACCTCATCTAGCTGCATGATGGACTGTGACGCCCCAGCAGAATCCAGAGGGAGAATGTTATAGGGAGCATAGATTTCCTTCTTTGCCTGGACATCATTTGCTGCAGCCATAATCTGTTCAATAAAACTTTAGTGTCTTTTAGCACTTTGTGGAAAAATGAATTTTGGAGTCACGCAAGAGGGGTAAAAATAATAGCTGGTACTCAAAATTGATTAGATACGACACAGTTCGTTTATTCAATAAAAAACTAACCTCGGGAGATACTTCCTCGACTTTTTCAGTCTTATTAACTGCACAAAGCACTTCAAACAGCACACCAGCTGTCTGGTAAGCTTTGCCAAGCTGAGCCCTGTTAACCGAAAAATGGATACGAGATATTGACAAGTTCAAAATGATACATATTATAATATAAAATTAATATTCTCTCACTACCTATCAGCTTTCTCCCCCTTGTTAAGCGCCAAAACATAGTTCTCGTAGTATTGTTTGTAGAAGCTCTCAATTTCCCTGCCATCAGTCTTCTTAACCCGTGAAGGAAGACTTGATGCATCATCCTGAATAAATGGAACCAAAACAGAGATTAAATGGAATAGAATGAAAGAAAGAACCTCATTCACTTTCTCAAAATAAGCAAATAGATGGGATATTTACCATCCGATCATTGGGTAAATATTCAGATATAATAACCCAATTCATGTTCCATTAAAAAAAAAAAAAAATAGAAGTGAAGGGTCAAGTTCTCCCAAAATGAGAATGAAACTAAGAATTAAACTATTTGTGGACTCTGTGTACCTTAAATTGACATTTTGAAGATATGTCAAAATCGTAATTATTGATTGTTTAAAGTAATGTTAAAATTAATGTATAAAAAACTATCACCTCACGACAATATCAAACCTGATGTAACTGTGGAAAAACTGTAAAACTAATGACACCCCAGCTCTGTATATGTTAAACCAGGAACCCAATTAGCTCATGTTTAACAATCATTATTCTTGAACTCTTTTTTAACACTCATTTCCAATCACATTTTCACACAATAAAATATGTTGCGCCTAAACTCAAATTTTTTTTGTACTATTTAACCACACATTCTTCTAAAAATCACCATTCAAAACTATATTTTCCTCAAATAATGATTGTCAAAGGGGGCTTAGTTTACTCTCTCTCATCTCCCACCAAAATTGGTAAATAAATACTCTCAACATTCCATTTGATTTCCTATATTCCCCATTTTAACAGGAAATACTGAGTGCATGATTGATGTAGATATTTTGATAAAAGATTTTGTGAAAAGTGGTTTTTTTTTTTTTTTCGAAAAATGTATGATGAAAGAGTAAAGGAAATTATTGTATTGAGAAAGTGTGTGATTAAAAATGAATGTTAAAGAATTTGTATCAAACAGAGCTTAGTAATAATTTTCAAAAGATAAGAGAAGATATGTCCAAGAAGTAATAAGGGAAAAAGTAGTGTGACTCAAATAAAGGGAAACAAAAAATTAAAATGTACGGGCTTAAAGTACGAAAATTCAATTCATGTTTAGTGTAGCTAAAAATTGGTTTTTTTAATATATTTAATAAAAATTGATGAAATGTGTGGTTGAAAAGTTATGAATTTTATGAAGTATTTGATTATACTTGTTCACTTGATTTAATTTTTTCTTGCCAAAATGTCACACCAACATAAATGACTGTAATATATCAATAAAAAAATGAAGAATTCCCCTAATTCCCCTGTACCAGGGGAATTGTTTACGGTGCCTTACAACACCTGTATGGTACCATTTTTTAGTGTTTTTGATTAAGGATGAATAAAAGACTGTCAAGTGGAAACCTATAAAAATTTTGCGAATTACACCAAGCAGAACCCATAAAAAATCAACCAAAAAGTCAAATTTCTACCCGTTCTAATCTTTGAAGGAGACCAGTCTTGAACTGCCGGACACCACGTCCGCTGGAGCTCGGGTCCAATCTGCACGCCTTCTCTAATGCATAGAATCGACCTACATAATGATTTCATGACCAGAAAAAAAGTTGAAATGAAAAAATATCTCACTCTTTCCAATTAATTACGTTTGTGCATTGAATAATGATATTTAGTCCATTGATATCAAGCACCAATCTAGATAACAATTGCATGACATTAAATGATAGATTTACTTCAATATATTGTAATATTATTCATTTAATTAAAACTATCAAGTGTGATCATCTAGATTGGAATTCTAGCATCACCGACACTAAGTAACATTATTCATAAAAAAATTGCAGAATTTGGAGATTGTTTTTGTATAATGCACTAAAAACAATTCTTCAAGGTTACCTACGTCTTCAAAGAACAATGTAACACGTAATCGTAAGGTTGAGGGTCTAGAATAATTTTCTGTGGTGATGCTTGGTTGAGGAGATTAGGGTCTAGAATTAAAATAAAAATGATTGATGAGGAAATATGTGATTATTCAGTGCTTCACTGAGATATCTCCAAAAACATTCATGAACTGAGTTTAAGGAATTGTTTCTACAGGATAAAATTTGATGACAGAGGAGCAGCGCAATAATCTAAAATTGTATAGAGCATACATAATTATGGCCTGATTTAAAAAAAAAAAAAAAAGAGTGGATATAATTGAAATTGTGGACGTACAGAGGTAGGCGATGCGGGGGCGTTCATTCTGGATCTCCTTGGCGACTCGGAGGATGGGGGCTATGGATTGGAGGGAAGAGGGAACAACCTCACTGTCGAAGACCTCCATGGAGAAGGTGGTGGTGGCAGCACTGCGTGATGGCCGTCGCATCAGGGAGGATGGCTGGCCGGACGACTCATTTTCCACCGGTAACTTCGACATCTTCTACTCTCGTTCGCTAGCTCATCTAAGCTGCGACTACACAAATATGCCTTCACTATGTCTCAGTCTCACCGGCGTACCAGTTTATGTACATATCAGTAAAGAAATTGGAGTTGGAAACTGGAAAGAGTATCTATCGAGGAATTTGTGATGAAGTATGAATGATACGACGGAATTGAGATTTGGCGGAGATGGCGGGGCCGTGTTAGTATCGAAGGGAGGGAAATTTGTAACGAGAGAATGTGGAGTGTTGAGAGTGAAATTTTCTAACTGTAGGGAGAGAAATATGCAGTATGTGAGAATGAAGAACATGTGATTGGATACGCGGGAATTATTGTTAGACCGTTGAAACGGGTTCGAACCCATCATCGGCGATACGGTATTTCGTCCTTTCGATCTTTCAATTTCATCTTGTTGTAAACAAATTTAAAAAAATTTATTTTCAATTCATTTTTCTTTTGGTCTATTATTAAGGCCCTGTTTGGGAGAAATTCTCAAAATTCTACAGTAAATCAATTCTCATTTTCTATCACACATTCTTCAATAAAATAATATTTTACATTACATCAATAATTTTTTCTTCTTTTTCAACCACACATTTTTCATCATATCACTATTCAAAATCAATTTTTCCCCCAAAAATCCCTCCCAAACAAGCACTAAAATTTGAATTTTTCTACCTGTATGTAAAAAAAAAAAGTACATAATTGATTATATAATATAATGTGGAAGGAAAAATTGAGAACCTGTCTGGGAGCACTCATAATCAGAATTTCAACCGTTGGAATAGTGATTCAGCCACTTAATTTGACCAATTTGTTTCTGTGTGGACTCCACACATTTGAATAAAACGGTCCAAAAAGCACTAAATTGGCAGAAATAATCCCTTCCAGACCAAGCTTGAATGAAAAAGTTAATTGTATAACAAATGGTAGAGTGCATTGTGACATTACGTAATTCATTATATAAATCTTGATGCACGTGTAATAAGATCTTTAAAATTTACCTCTTTAAACTGTTCTAGTGAATAATGACGCGATTTAAGATTTTAAATAGGTTTTTTAATAGATTGTTCTTGTAAAGGTGCATTCACCTTGATCTAATGGTGGAATTGGTTTGTACTTGATACAAATTGTTGGGTTGGTCGAATTTGGCTCATATTTGACAATTATTATTTGGATAAAATGGAGTTTTGAATGGTGAGTTTTTTGGAGAATATGCGGTATAAAAACAATTGGATCTACGTATATAATATTTTATTGTGTGAATGTATGGTTGAAAATGAGTGTATAGAAAAAAAAAAGTTTGTGACATAATGGTAACGAACATGGGCTTAGTATTTTAGCTCAACATATTATTAAAGTAGATTTTTTTTTTACCTAAAAAAGAAGAAAAGAAAAATGATGAATATAGATTTAGAGGGTGTTTGGTGGAGATTAAAATTAGATTTTTAGTGAATTGTGATAGAATTTTTTGAAATGTGTGGTTGAAAATATGTGGTACCTATGAAAGATGTGGTTAATATTGTTTGACTTTGACTTTGATTAAAATCAAATTTGAATCCGGCTCAAACAGACCTTAATTAATACGTTTTTCTCTATTCTTTTTAACTACATATTTTCAATAAAATAATATTATACATAAATCAAAAAATTCTCCTTTTGCAACCAATCAATCTAAAAAATATTATTTCAAAAATTATAATCTTTAATATTGGGGCCAAACAGGGGCTTAGAATACAATGATAAATAACTTCAATTTCAATAGACATTGTGTTGTCAACACGAGAACAATAAATTAACATGCAATAGTAAGAGTCACTAGAACGTGAAGGGAAGAAAAGATAAAAAAGTGTTCCAATTGAAAGGAACCAAAATTTACAAAGGGCATGGAAGACACAACATAAAAGAAGAAGAACATTTTAAGATTGTAACCGCTATATGACTTCACTTGATCAGCAAAACATTACATTTGTCTTTTTCCTTTCATTACTATCTATTAAGGGTGAACTTGATTGAGTTCAGATGGTGGTTTGCCTATTTTCTAACTAAATTGTTGAAAACATTTGGAACTTTTTCAAATTAAACAAGACCATTTTTCACGTTTCGATTTGATTTCATACCACGCCACGGTTTACTTATTTAAATAAAAGTAACACTTGTCGAACAAGTTAAAACCTAAATTTTTTGTGTTAAAAAATCTTTTTCGAATTGATATTTGCTCTCCCTCTCCTTCTCGACTGATTGTGATTCTTATGACAAAAACTTGCAAAGAAATGATAGGGTTTTTCTCCCTCTTGGCAACTCCGATGTGAGAATCATTAGGAGAAGAATATTGAATATAAAGCATGAAATCGATTTCAAAAGGACTTAGTTATAACTTCCCCAAATGTGGTTGTTGAGCATCCTATGAATGATTTCAATTAATTTCTAAACGATTACTATTGAGAACGAGGTGTTTCTCATTTTTGTATAAGGATTACTATTTTATGTGTAGCAAAACTTGTAGCATCATGGCAACATCTAAATTATTCTCATTATATTTGATTTATGGCTCAAAAGTCTAATATTTTTATATAATGATTTTTGATACTGCAATATATATGAAAACGCTCTACCATAGTACGCTGAAATGGACATTAGAGAATTTTGAGAAAACTATCTAATGAAATGACATTTAACAAACCGCGTTATAAAATATTGTCCATAATGATTCAAACTGAACATGTATTCTCAATTTTAAGTGGGAGAAATTAGTGGCTAAAAATGATACACAATGCATCATATCGTGTTATCTATATCATCGCATACACTTGACAATCTGAAATGATAACTCGGTTGCAAGATGCACTTATTGACCTATTAGAGATTTATAGAATCTTATATATCGGCTATAGATGCTCTAACTCGTATTAATGTCTTAGATTGATAAATTTTTAGCAATATATAAATGACACACCTGAAGCATTGTGACATTGGATTCTACAAAGAAAAACTCTCGAAAAAAAAAATGAGCAAATAAGAAACATGAACTACAAAGAAAAACTCTCAAAAAAAAAAAAAATGAGCAAATAANGGCAAGAATGAATTTACTAGAGAAACCTGAAATTTCTGGACCTGCGGTCTAAACACTTGGAGGTATATACTTGTGCAAAAAGGAACAGTGAAACATTAAAGTCGTAACATATAATGCACAACTCTCAATAAAAAGAATTTCTCAAAAACCTATATAATAAATTAATTATCCAGTAGTGGACGCAATCATAAGTTTATAACTGTTAGCTTGACAATGCATGAAATTTAATAATAATAATAATAATAATAATAATAATAATAATAATAATAATAATAATAATGGTTAAAGCCAATCCATGTGGCATGATTATTAATACTATCTTTGAAAAATTGAACATCCTTGAGCATATAAGTCAATTTGTATTACCACGAGAAAAGTAAATACGAGTTGTACTATTTTTTCTTTTATCAAAATTTTGTCCCATTGAATTTTCTTGACAAGATTTTTAATGAGACAACTTTGATAGCATATTCATTGAAACAATGTATTATTTTCCCTTAATTGGGCTTTTCTCCACGCAATTTTTTCTAATGACATTTTAACAAATAATATTCTTTGTGTAATGAATATATATAATTTACAAGACATTTACCCTCAAACTAATATACTTTTATGTTATAAATTGTATACGACTCCCAAAGAGAATAACAACAAAATCTTTGTTTTATTGGACCATCATACCGATTGAAATTAAACAAGGATATATGATTATCTTTTATGAAGATGGTATTGCTTGAATGTTATAACAAGACAACTAATATATACTTTATCGAAATTGTGATAATAAAGACATTGACGTATAGGACATGTATGACTCATTATAAGGATTTTCATTTATTGCAATCAAGGGGAAGTAATCGCATTATTTTTCCTTCGCTTAAGTTTTGTCTCATTGAATTTTCTTGAAAATGTTTATCGAGACATGATTTTATTAGTTTAATTTTGTTACAATTATTTGTACTCATTTTCCTTCGTTTCATATTTTTATCCTACTAGATTTTGTCAAATTAGATTTTCAATGAAAAAATTACTATGCAAATAATCATCAAAAGGAGATGTTGTAAAATTATGACATATTTATCGATGATTATTTAATCTTATCAGGATATTTATGTAAATCTTATTTACTAGAAGAGTCTATTTTATTAATAGTGTAACTCTCCTTTTAAATTTTGATAAAATTACACACTTTAATTTTGACTCTTTCTATATTTTCTCTTTATACTAGTTGTTGATACGTGTGTTGCACAAATTTTGTATTTTTTGTGTTTTTATTAGTGTAGAAATTTTCAAAAAAAAAAGGTAGTTTAAAATTTATTGGATTATTCAAGAGTCTTGGAAGTATATTATTGTCTCGCTACTGCTCCATCAAAAGCTAATATTACTACACAAAGAAACTCACCAAAAATAAAATTGAAAATATCACGTGTATGTAGAACATGGCAGTACATGATAATAGAAATGTTTGACATGTATAAAGATTGCAGGTTTACATGAGTAAAAAATATTTTATTCATTAAATAATAAAGCATGCATCGAAAAATGAAAATGCATAGCAAAGCAGTTGTAAAAGAATACCATGCAGCATTTACAAAATAAAACCAACGAACTAGGATGAGACTTAAATGTGTATGCTAAGACAGAATTGATAATTCTTGCATTGTTATTTCTGTTCTTTCTTTTGATTGTTTATAAACGTTAGGATCTGAGTATACAATAAATATTGAAATAATTGCATTAAATCAACAAATGTACCTACCTAACCCCTCAAAAAATGTAAAACATATCCAATGAGTATGTGTTGTATTATCTGACGTTCGGACTCTCGAAATAGTTGGATTAACCATATCGGACACAACATGGATGTGTATGAGATATGTGTCGGATCCACCAAATTTCAACCGGACGCTTTTTCTTTTTTCTTTTTTTTTTATTTTTCTTTCCCTTTTCTTCTTTCCCCTTTTTGCTATCCGTAAACCTATAGTCAGTGTCGAGAGGGTGGAGAAAGGTGGCGGCGCTATGTTTTCTCTTCTTTTTCTATTTATTTATTTCTTTTTTCTTTTCATTTTTGTCATT